GGGCACCATAAGACAGCAACCAAAACCGGCGCACAAAAGTGTATGGCTAATGGTTGTAAAAACTGAAACTGAAAACCTTATCATCCTTTAAGTGGGATTTGGTTGTGCAAGCGTTAAGGCTGACTAGTACTGGGAATACTATTTTGCACTGTAGCCCCAATTTTCTTCCATTATCCCAAAATGATTACCAGATGCAAAAGTAAAGTAATATGTGCATAGAGTGCTGGAATTGACATCGTTACAAAAAACAGTATGCTGAGAATAAATTTGATTCACTAACTGTTATCGCAAAATTTACTTTACGTTATAAGTATGTCTTGATTAAAACTTAGTTCCTTCGCTAGTGTTGTCTGCTTTCCGTGGATCACGCGTATCCCACTGTTCACGGTCGGACTCTGATCCCTAAAGAATCGCGTCACCTTCAACCCGACCGTCATAAGTGTGCCCTCTATGGATTTCGTCCATCTATCCTCCGGCATTTCGTAGTTGACTTGCTTCAGTGCGAATCAAGATGGAACATAGCCAATAGGGGTTTCAGGAATTTCCGAGTCAGATTTTTCTTCTGCGTTATTTCTTCTTTCTCTCCGTGTGTCTTTTTCATCATGCTGTTTTATATGTTCACATTTTGGACTGTTGTTGGTCGGTTTGATTTGTCGATGTCTATCGACTTTTTGCCATGTCCTGCAATTTGTCTGTACATCGTCCAGAGTTGATTTCAAATCTGTTCACTGCTTGGTTTTGTGTTTGTTTGCGGGAACAATTACCTGCACTTAAATCAGTGCGATGTTTTATTCCTTATTGTCTCATACCCACACGAAGTATGCCTTTAATTCTGATGTGGGTACCCATGGGACTGGATGCAACTCGAAGATAGCACTGTGACTGAGTAAGCCTGGGTGTTTACAATCGTCATTCTTCAACGTTGAATCCTTATTCAATCCACCTGGTTTCTGTCCCCGTCTGTGCCAATTTTTGGCCAGCTTCAATCAACTAGAAACAATTCGGAGGATGAATGAGAGAAATTAAGTCTGCAAACTGCAATTTCTACCATGATCTGTGAATTGCTTATTTTTTACTTGCATACTTCTCGCTCCCTCTGGATGTATCTGATGGCACTCGCGCCCGTAGCTGATTGCACCCAGATATGATAACCGGAAAGCGAAACTCTGGACTGTGCTCAGCCACATTTTCATCTGAACTAAAAGTGTCCGCTTGAGTATGACCACGGGATCAACGGTTGTCTCACAATTTCCGTCGTTGAACGATCTAAGATACAGGAACTGCTGAACTGCTGCAAACAGCTCCGTTGTAAACAATGGGACAGCCACTTGCACGCATAGCGTTTGACATTTTTGACCGCTAACCCAAATTCCTCTCAAGAAGGGTACCACGTATAGAAATCCCGCCACCATCGTCACTTTCTATGTATGACAGCCGTTTGACTGGTCTCTTCCCCCTTCTTGAAAATTGTCAGCATCAATAGATATATATTCAGATATATATTCAATAAAAAGAAGTAAAAAGAAAGGGAAAAAGGTAAATGTTATTGTATCTTGTTCCTGTTACCTAATCTTCACATGCATCCCAGTGAGTGAAATCCCGGTTGCTAAAGGAAGATTCCGGCCTCGCGTAGAAACGTCATCATGTACAACGAGAGAAATCATTCATTCCTAGCAATGGATCACATCATTTTATCAAAATTTAAAAAACACTGGTCCAGCTTTATCGTTTATTAGATTAAAAAAAAGTTTTTCTTGTCACTGTGGAAATATCACTAGAATAGTACTAAACCTTACACAATTAGATCATGAAAAATAGATCTCTTCATAAATCGCCTCTGGAAAGTGCCGGCCCTATTGAAAGAAGACTTACTTCTACCACCGCACCCCCGCGTTTCAGATCGTCTAAGTGTGCTAACCTTATTTTTTTCCGTTTCCTGCATGGACTCCCCCGTCGTTTGCGTTTACCACAAACACATGCATGTCAATGGCTCCCACCGAACCAAAATGTTCTACATAGTTCTGTGTTGTTTATATACTGATCGATTTATTCACTTTCTGTCGAAACACTTACTTGTACTCTCTTCACTCTCTCTCCTGCCGACATCACCGCCACCGCAAAACACACACACATGCAACTTGATTGTCGCGGTTCTAGGCTCTCCTGACCACGAATTTCGCTCGGCAAGTGCGATCTCTCAAGAGAATCGTCACTCAGAGCGAGCCGAACTGTACGCGATGCTGTCCGCGCCGGAACGGGAGACAATGGCCCAAGAGTTTGCCGGTTTCCTCGAGGAGAAACGACGATTTATGCGTGAAGTAATCAAGTGGGATGATTCGGCGAACGAGATTATTGTG